AGAGGGCGCTGTCCAGACAGCCCCAACAGGTGCAGCTGCTGTCATCATGACCCAAGTCTGCAATGTCCCATAACCTCCTGGCCAGACCTCTGCCCACATTAAAGATGGAGGTGTGACATGTATCCTTTCTGACTTGACTGGAGAGTCACTGTTGCCAGGGAAGGCCCAGGGGTGTGTGTGTGTGGGGGGGGAGCCACCCCCCCACAGAAGGTCATTTATTTATTTATTATTTTAATTTATAGCCCACCCTCCCCGCGAGCGGGCTCAGGGCAGCTCACTAATAGGACGTAAACCAATACATAAAAACATTAAAACCGCATAAAACAATCAATACAATATTACAACATTATAAGTGCTCTAGATGTTTCGGAACAATCTTCAGTAAAAAGATGGCGTCTTGAAGATGGTACTCCCAAATCGGTGGTGTCAGTTCCACGCGGCGCTGTCGTTCTCTCCTCCCAGGGCCAGTTGGTAGTGATGGTAAGGTAGTGGCGGCTCCTACTCAAAAGCCTGGCGGAAGAGCTCCGTCTTACAGGCCCTGCGGAACATCAGTACAGGTGTCAGGCTAGCAAGCTTCTGCATTCACCTGCCTTTGGATTTGCCCAGTTGGTGCTTTGGGATCTGGGAAGACCTCTAGGCTGAAGAAGAGAGGGACCTTTGCTGCTGTAATGCCAGCACTGCTGTGACCTCTTATTAAGAGACTCTCTAGTTTAACGAAATGCAGCTGTGTCCACCTGGGCAGATGAACATTGTCCTTCTAGCCCTGCTTCTGGTTCTTGATCAGACTCAGAAGCCCCTGTTCTTTGGGTCCTTGGAGGTTACCAAAAACAAACTGGAAATCTCCTGCTGCCACCAGCAACTCAGAGTTGTTTCCTGCTAAACGAAGTTGCATGCCTGTCCCCTCTTCACACCTGCATTGCCACTTGGGGGCTCTGCCTAATTGCCACAGCCCCCACTTTGATCTTGCAAGCTAGCATGCGGGTGATTTGTGGCAACTTTGCCCTTTCAAACTGTTGCACTCAGAAGGGGGGGGGGTGACACAAGCTTACTTTCTGGCCCCTCCCATCACCACACTTCAGGTAGCCAGGCAAAAGGAATGTGGTGTGTTTCCAGAGACCAGGCTTAGAGCATTCAGAATACAAGGAAGTTTAGTAAGTGAATAAAAAGGCTACATGCGGTCTGGTCAAGTGTTCAGACTGAGCAAGTGTACAAAGAAAAGGTAACAGCACATAATCTCCTTTTCGCAGACTCGGTATTCATTTTAGATGATGTTTAAATAAGACAGGCTAGTAGTACTTGAAGTTGGAGGAGTTTAAAATTCATCATTACCTTAGTTCTCTGATTCTTTGGCTTTTTCCTCACCCTCACCATGTAGGCAAGATGGAGACCCTGGACATAAGTTTAGTCCTTTGTGGCTTGTGCCCATCCAAAGAGCTGCTCCAGGAGAAAGAGAAAAAGAGATCCTCCCTTGCCTTGAAAATGTTTATTCTTCCCTTGGGAGAGCCCATCCCACCTTGAGGTTGTGTTGATCTTTGTGCCTCTTGGGGGGGGGGAATAATCCATTGTAGCCATTTGGCTGTTCCCCGGTCTGTCCCTTGAGGTGTCGCCTTCTAGCCAGATGGGAGAAGGCAAACCATTGCCCTGCTGCAGCCAGAGCCTAATATTAGCACTGACCGCGTGGTGTTCTTGGCCTTGAGGGCTCAGCCCCCCCCCGGCCCCCTCCCTCCTTCCTTCCAGCCACACGTTTGCAGCTGGGTTCCCATTCACAAATATCGGGGTGGATTCTAGGGCGGAGGGCCTTTCTCCATTGCCTCCGTTCCCGCAAGCTGAGGAAAGTTTGAAAAGAGGGCTCAGCTGACTGGGCAAGAGACCCATGGGTGGGCAAGCCACATTCTACAGCTCTGCTGGGCACACTGTGTTTGGGACCTGCTGCCCTGGACAAACAGCTCTCTGGATTCTCCACTTGGAGAATTTGGTCCAAATTAAGTTATTTATTGAGGGGGAGGAGTGAGGAGAGAGGGGAGAAATAAGAAAAAGTCGCCACTTGTCTCGTCTGTTCATCTGAAAACCCCGGCGGCCGGCAAGCCCTTGCAGACCACGTGCCCGGGGGTGACTGTCACTGTTCGTGGACAGCTGCCACATGTGGCTTCCTTTCCGTCCCTTCCCTTGCTTGAACTAGACCAGGGGACTGAAAGGAGGATCTGCCCCCTGGAGTGAGCAGAGGTGAGAGGAACGGGCACCACGTGGCAGGATCGAGGGTGGGGAGGGGGTCCGTTAACGGCACCTGAGGACTGGCGGCCCCAGTCTTTCCTTTCGTTGCCAGGGAGGAATAGCTCAGAGAGAAGACAAGGCGCACACACAGCTCAGGGCCCTTGCTCTCCGAGGAGGACAGGTCCTTGTAAGGGGCACAGAAGGGGGTGGGGTACACATTTTGTGAACAGTAAAGCTGCTTTTCATTGCATCTGTTTAGGTTCTATGGTTGCACGTGTTTGATTGGCTTTCAAGGCGTTCCATGTTTGCCGCTGTGCTCCCGTCATGTGCTGCCTTTGCCCAAGCAGCCGAGGCATCTTAGGAGTCCGTGCACAACAGACCCCGCCGTGTGGCTTCCTGAAGCCTCCTTTGGGGGGAGGGGGCTTCCCTCGGAGTGGAAGGAAGTACGTTGAGTGTAGCCGCTGAAAGTGTTTCTCCCCCCCCTCCCCGCAGAGTCCCTCGAGCCGACATACCAGCAGCTGCAGAAGATGAAACTGGACAAGAGCCCCTTTGTGGTGGTCTCTGTGGTCGGCCAGGAGCTGCTGACGGCCGGCCATCACGGGGCCTCGGTGGTCGTCCTGGAAGCCGCCCTGAGGATCGGCACCTGCAGCCTGAAGCTGCGCGGCTCCGTCTTCTCCGCTCTGAGCAGCGCCTACTGGTCCCTCGGCAACAGCGAGAAGAGCACGGGCTACATGCAGCAGGACCTGGACGTGGCCAAGACCTTAGGTAGCCAGCCCCCGCCCTGCAGGGACTCCCTCGGGGGTGTGGAAGAGCTCTGGGGTGTCCCCACAGCAAGGAGAGGCACCCTCCCCCCCCCAAGAGAAGCCTCTGCAGCTTGTGGGGGGAAGGAGCACCTGGGGGGAGGGGTGGGCCCCACACGGGTCTTGGCTGCCCACCGGCGTGTCCCCATCCAGCCTCCAGGCAAGGGTCCAGGCGGACGGCTCCTTCTGCAGACTTCTGGAACAGGAAGGCTTTGGGGTGTCAGTGGTCCCACTTGCCCCCCCCCCCGGTGCCTGTAGCCACCGGAAGGGGCATCTGCCCCGTGTCGTCATGGCCAGGCCACGCAAAAGGCCATGGGGGGCACAGGGGGGCGGGGGCAGAGGCTGTGGGTCCCTCCCTCCCTCCCTCCGGGAGTGGCCTGAGGCGGGAGTTGGCGGGGCGCTGGAGGAGGAGGAGGAGGAGCAGTGAACAGAGCATGGCCGGGCTGGCTCATGGGCGACCCCCCCCTAAGAGGGCATCGGGTTCCCCACTGGAGCCGTGCGTGTCTCCCCTCGAGAACCCGGAAGGCGCTTGGGGCTAGCATGAGAGCCAGATCCAGAAACAGAGTTTCCGTGCCCGCTCACCCCGGGAGCCCAAGAGCAGCGCGGAGGGAGGCCAGTTATTCCACTGGGTCCGGAGGGGGGGGCCCAACCGCGACGGCTGGCCCTCGGCCCCGCTCCCCCCGGCTTGCCCTCCTGCCCCTCAGGAGCATCCCCTGGTTCAACCACGTCTCGCGCCTTCTTGTCGTCCAGGTGACCAGATGGGCGAATGCCGGGCTCACGGGAACCTGGGCTCGGCCTTTTTCTCCAAAGGAAACTACCGGGAGGCCTTGTCCAACCACCGGCACCAGCTGATGCTCGCCATGAAGCTCATGGACAGAGAGGTAGGAGGGGGGGTGTCCTTGAGTACGGGGGAGGAGGGGGGTGACAGCTCTCCCGAGGCGCCCTGGTGACCGCGCTGGCTGCATCCCAGGAGGTGGGTCTCTTGCGCCCCTCCCTCCAGTGACAGCTCTCCCCGTGGAGCCCTGGGGCAGGAGGGGACACCATCCCCCCCCCCGCCACCCTGCAGGATGGGTGCTGTGAGCCAGACCTCTGGAGAGGCTGCTGGTCCAGAGCTAGGTGACGGCGGCAAGGCAGGAGAGCGGTGTGGGCGGTCTCTCTGGCTGCAGCCTGGAGGGGCTGAGTTGTCGCGGAGAGTCTGCCGCCGCCGCCCTGCCTCGGCCCCTGCGCACGGGGTCCTCTGTGCTTCCGGGAGGGCTGCTGCCGCCAGGGGCCAAAGTGGCACATCCGGCTATTCCTGCCACCCTTCCTGGGGGGGGGGGGAAGGGGGAGAGCTCAGCAAGCCCTGAAACGGCCAGGCAGTGCCCGGCGGGAGGCGGGTTTCTTCTGTGCCTCTGGCTGGTTGGCCCGGAGGCCTTGCGGAGGAGCCGCAGGGCGGGGGGAGTGTGCCCCACCACAACGCTTTTCCCGTTTAGGACCCATCTGGGCACACAATTAGCAGCCCCTGCCAGCAAAAGGCTACTTGGATTGTGAGAAAGCTGAGCCCCTTGGATTTCCTGTGGATGTAACCACAGGAAATTACTCTGGCGCTTTCTGATGACATCATCCTAACCGCAGGGCTTCCTCTGAATGCACAGCTGTTTTTCTTGGCCCCTCTGCCGGGGGTCGCGCTCCCCCCTCCCCCTCCCCCCCCCCCCCCTCCCCGGACCACCAGTTTTTTTAACACTGCACAG